GAAGAATATAGAGATGGGGCCGTGATTGCTTGCATATGTGCCTGATTCTAGATTTTGGGCTGCGACTGAACGATGAATACAATTAGCGGGAGAGCGTCATCATGCCAGTTCCCTGACGTCGACACCAGCCACATTGGAAAGCATTGAATTGATGGATGAATTAGTGGATTGATAGATGAATTCTATGACGGGGGACGCATTGCCTTCATCCATGCGGTGTCGTGCAGGGGACTCTCACTCACAGTCACTCGGGGGTGGGGGCAGTAGCGTTACGTTGCTGGCAATGGTTGTTGAGGGCGAGGCGACTGATTGCACTTGCTGTCGCTGTAGTTGAGTGTGTTCTATTATGCTTTTCGCAATTTTTGTACTTCATTAGCTTTCTGTTGATAGCGGGATCGGTTTTTTTGGTGGAGTTTGCGTCCAGGAGGGTGTTGAAGTGGAGTGACGGGGGTGGGAGGAGCTTTCGAAGATTTTTGTTCAAGTTTAGAGACTATAAGTGGGAGAGGAAGGAATGGAGAGGACAAGGTCGATTGCAGGAGAGATTTGTGAGAGGCGACTGAGTTTAAGGGGAGAGGAAACAGGTAGCTGTTCACGAATACAACAGAATAGGAGTTCCTTACATGGCTGTAGGTGTTGTGATTTTCCAATATGTGGTTAGGACAGCAGTGAAGCAACGGTAGAGGAGGGATGAGAGAGAAATTGGCGAGAGCAGTACTGCGCGATTTGCGACAGCAGGGCCATGAGCATGTGGAGCTTCGGCGGGACGGCGTCACTGCGGTGTTTTACTGTGCTTTATGTGGCACAAGATGTTATAACGATAGCGCTATTGCGGATCACTTGAACGGGAAGGGCCATGCACGCCATTACGAGTCCGTGCGCGCCGAGGTTAGAGGCTTGAAGAATAATACTTCGAAAAGGAGTCTTAGTTACGAGAGCGAGGAACAGAGCTTTGACTTCCTCTCCAGGTGGGATGGAGAGAAGAAGTCCTCTCTTGCTTCGTCGGAAGATGGTGGCGTGAAGCTGGAACCGACATCTTCGTGGAGTGGATCAGAGAGTAAGGGTGCAGTTGTAGCTTCCACTACTACTTCAACGACGTCCTTGAAGTGGATTGGCAGTGGTGAGCTTTTCTTGAGGTCGAAGGCCACAGGTTCACCATTCGTGGAAGCTTCTTGGTTTTCTTGGCAGGGCATGTACAAGTCCGTGGAGAGGAGCTGGAATGGCAAAATCAATGCGACTAGAATGGAGTATGCTCTAGTTGTGTTCCCTTACAGTAACGGAATTGGTAGAGGTGGTGACTGGTCGTCGTTAAGCCTTCCAGGAACGAAAGCCATTCTGACCTCAGAGAATAAGGGCCTGCGCAATGGACGCAAACCAGGTGTCAAAGTTCCAGGAGCGACGATGAGGCTTTCAGCTCAAGTTTCTCGAGAATTTTTTGTTAGCACAGAGACTTCTCTTACACCTCGTCCCAAAGCACCACTATCACCATTGACATTAACAATGAGAACTGAGCCCTCAAAATTGGTGTCCGGCGAAGTGCTTGAAATTGATGGTGAACCTGTCGAGAAAGGGTTCGAGAAGGAAGGTCCTGTCACGTTTCAAAAAATATGGAAGCGGAAGCAAGCCAAGAACCCAGATAGAATTTGTTTTATTTGTCACCAGAGGTTGCCTCCAAGTCAAGATGTCGCTGCTCTGGTGAACGTGAAGTCGGGGCAGATGATTTGTGGAAGTCGTAACAGGAGAGGGGTAAGTTTTTCAAGGCATAATGGTTTCTGCATCTTCTCGAATGCGTGACTAAACCGGTTTTTAAGAAATTGAAGGCGTTTGAATTAAGGAGCTTAAAGATTTCTTATGAACGTTATTTTGGTTTACAATCGCATATTGTCAGAGAGCTCACCAAAAAAGTTTCAGAACTTGCAGGTTTTCCATGTCTTTCACAGTGCCTGCTTGATAGAGTGGGTAGCTTTCTGCGAAGCAAAAACTTGGAATGCGTCTTTGACCATGAGTCGCAAGCTGAAGCGTCGAAAAACTGTGCATCTGAATGTTCAGCGTCCCGCATATGGCGTTGATGGTGGGCAAGATTGGTGCGGAACCGAGACTGAGTTCACATCTGAGACAAGCATCTTTTGTCCTGAATGTCAAGGTACAGGTATAAAATTGGAAGGTTCACACCTTGAACGTCCACGCTTTCGATTAAATCAGGTAAGTCGATTGTGGCTTTACTATCATTTCTTGCAGCTGGAATTTGTGAAACCCATGCTATCGTTCTGTAAACCATTCTAGCTAATGCGTTTTTTTGTGTGTGTTTTTTCTGTTCAGCTTTACGAATGGGTTATGGAGCTCATAGAGAGTAGAAAAGCTTATATGGATGAGCAAGGGAATCCGTTGGGACTACTATTTGTGAAACAAGACAAGTCTAAACCTCAGGTCTTTCATCTATGTACTTACTTAACTTCTCTATTCATCTCTCATTCTATCTCTCATTCTATCTCTCTCACACACTCACACTGAAGTAAACAACATTTCGTGTACATGGATATGCTTTTGGAGGCGCTCATATTTAACAATAGATCCTCATGTTGCAGGACTGATGTTTTCAAATTTAGCAATCAATTTGTAGAGTTTTGACTGTCTTGGTGTTCTTAACTATTTAATTGTGTATGTTGATTTTGCATCAAAAAATCCTTATTCATTAAAAAGAGTTCTTAAAATCGTATTGTGCACTCAGGGTGTTGTTCAGTCACAAGGCTTCATTCATTGCTATTCCGCTGGAGGGTCTCGAGACTTTATGATGAACTTTATGAGCAGGTAGTGATTTTAGTTGTACTTCAAAACTTTGCAATGGAATATGCTTGCATGACATGAAACAGATTGGTGTTTCATAATATTGTTTACAATTCTATCTTTCAAACACCTTACTTCAGTGGTTGGCTCACATGAGTCGTCAAAGGTGGATGGCGAAATTGTGATTTCCGGGTGGGTCTAATTTGTTTTTCATGTTTTTAATGGTTCAGGGAGGGTGCATCGTGCAAGTAAAATCATCCATACTTTCGTTTACTCAGTAGCAGCGAATGAAGGATTCTGAGATCTTCTCATCCACCGCACTGTCTGCAAAGGTTTTACTTCAACGAGTTTCCTCTCCACAGGTATGGAATTCACAGTCGCCTGACTTTGGTGCAGGTATATTACAATTTCTGAGAGATTGTCACTTACTATATCCTGCGACCGAATGAAAGGCCAAACTATTTCAGCATGGCTTTTCGGAGTGATTTCATCACATTTTATACATGGTTGACACTCTCAAGGAGCGTGAGACTGAGCTTAGTGTTCAAGTGTCTTGAAAGAGCTTCTGTTGTCAGGGTCGAAAAGGTGAATCAGATGCTAGCATGACTCATCCTGTTCCATGAAGATTGCACTATTATAGAGTTTCACATGCAGTTCTTTCTTTAATGGAATTGTTCAAAATGCTTCAACCAAAAAATCAATCTAAGTAGTGCGAGAATTGCCGTTATCTGTTAACAAGATCCTTGAATGTGAAGCTGGAGGAAAAGTGTGACAGAATACTCACTTTGATTTATGATCACAATGATTGTGCAGATTGATGAAGCATAAATATTCCCAATTCACATCTTTAGTGGTGGAATTGCAATTTGTACTCGAATACTCTGTTCGATGTTCTACACTCCACATGTTGGGGTGTGCTTAATGTCATACCGACTGTAAACAAATGCTTCAAACCATGAGAGATGATGGACCTGGGTATACGCGTTCTTTTTGTTTCTCTTTCAGCACGCTAAAATGCTAAATCTTGTGTTGAATATGTCAACTGACTGCAAGTATTACTGTGATATTTTTTGGCAACATTACTGCATACCATGCCTCAGCAATATCAAAATCTCTTTATTAACTTGTGCGATGTTTGAGCTTTGACTCTACCCATTTTAATCTTATTTAACTTGAAGGACGTTATTCAAATTTTCCAGAAACGATTGTGGCCTCTCATGGCGAACAAAATCCTTAGTTCTGTTGGAACATAGTCTTAAACAAATTTCTACAAGACTTCTCTGGAGGTTACCACAACTTGTTGCTAACTCAGTAGATCGAACGTCGAAAGAACTTGCCGTCAAGCTAGAGACCACTGTTTTGGAACCATCATTATGGTGGCTCGCACCATATATTTTGTTAATGATTGGTATCACGTTGTACAAGTACGTACACTTGCACGTTTGTTTTCATATAAATCTTGTGACGAACCGAAACATAATAAAAAGTAGTATAATAAATAAATTTTGCTTTTGAAAGATAATTTGTGTCATGTACATTTGATAGACTTATTGTGAATGATTGTAAAGCATTAACTATAAGTAATTGTATACTTGAAAAGCTTATCTGAAATTAATATTTATTAACGTTGATAAAAAAATATAAATTGAAAAACTATTTTTTAAAACATCCATATTAAAATAATTTTTAAATATAATTTTTAAATAATAAAATTTTAATAAAAAAATTATAACACCTTAAAAAAAGATATAAATTCAATTTTAACAGAATTTTTTTAAAAAAAATTAATAGTACAACACAAATGTTAAATTTTTTTTTTAAGAAGTATTAAGAAAGATTTAAAAGTTCCTGTAATGTTGTAACAATTTAAAGCAGAAATAATATATATATTTTTTGTAAATTTTGGTCAACTAGACAAAATTTAGATTTTGTGTGTTTTGGTTTTCCTAAATATACACAACAATCTAATAAAAAAAATGTGCAAAAAATTTAACATTTGTATTGATAAAAAGAATTAATTCTTAAAATTCAATACAAGAATAGTAATATATACATACATGAAAAAAATCGTAGCATTTTCAACAATTCCATTGCTGAATTCTAATCTGTCTATTTGGTATAAAAATCCTAATTAAAATTATAAATAAAATAAAACCTAATATTTTAAAATTAGAATAGTATAATAAAATTTTGTAATAAATATTTTTTTAAAAAAAATTAGATAATATTTTTATATTAAGAAAAAAAATATAGATAAATATTATTATAATATAAAAATAATAATCAATAATTATATTTAAAATAATAAATCAAACTAAAAAATATTTCGTATTAAAAAGATAATATGTTTTTTAATCGTGCTTTAAGTTTTTTTAAATATCAAATTTTATAAAATATTAAATTATTCAATTATAAATTATTATAGATACATATGCCAAAAAATTTTAATTTTTTATGCTTTAAAATGAAGATACAATTACAAATAAGAATTTTTTTCAAAATTATATCATAGTCTTTATATATGCGATTAACATGTTGAATCTTTACTTCATTAATATTTGCAAAATTTACTAGTAAAGTGAATTCATATTAGTAATTACAAAATCTATATTGAGCTTAAATTAAGCCATAAAGAGTTGGCTCTTTTTAATCCTTCTTTTAAGAAAAAAACCACAATTATAATGCATCTAACTATTATCAAATTCTTTATAAAACATTAATCAATTAAAAAGCATATTAGAGTAAACATTAGAAAATATGAACATTTGAAACAAGTATTTTAACTTTGTAAAATATTATAAAACTTATGTAGATATAAATTGGATTTTCAAATATCTTTGGATTTTTCATATGATAATATAAAATTTTCTTAGAAGTATATGAATTTATGAAGCTACTACAAAAACACTCCAAAAATTAGATACTTGTTATGTAAGCATTTTGGTTTTTAGATGTTGCAATAGAACAATATTTCTTTGTTCAAGATATGACATTGTATCTAATGATTTTAGGACAATATTATATTATGGCAACACGGATAGAAATAAAAGTGCTTAATGATGGTTCCGCCTATATAATGATATATAGTGAAGATAGAAGAAAATCGGTATAATTTCTAACTGTGCTTCTTCATCATGAATATAATCGAGATAGATTGAAGTGAGAGGCCATTGCCCAAAGTTGTTAAAGAATTTAAGAATTTTGGAGAGTACAACTATATAGAGAAATTATAAAAGTACAAAAGATGAGAAAAAAAAGACATAATGTGATGCCAATTATGACATATGGTTCATTTGGCCCATACCAAAAGATGCGCACATTCAAAGGGCGTAGATGTTGTGTTGTAACATGACTATAATGTGAAAATATAATCAAAAATGAATTTTTAATTAATATCTAATCATCTTGGCTCAATAATAATTCAAGATATTTAAAAATGGCTTTCATAAAAGTCTTTTAGTTTATTTTCTTGTCTTAATAGCTAGTAGATTAAAGGTTGTTAGTAATTTTACCTTATAGGTTGTAGAAACTCTTTTACTACCACAGAAAGTTCATAAATTAATAAAATCAAGTTAAAAGATATAAATAATTAGCATTGTTGATACTAAGGTTAAGTTTAGAATAGGATTGGGCTAAAAAATCCCTAAGATAGGTTAGATTGATACCTAGGGATTGGCTATTTGTGGGACAGGGATGAAATCAGATCTTCAGCCACTAAAAAGACTGCCTAGGACAAAGTATAGGGACATTTGAAGATTGGCAATTAGGATTGGTGAGCTAGCTTTAGGGTAATTTCAGAGATAAAAGGTTTGTTTTCAGAGGGCTTGGAATGATTTTGCAATTGTTGTTCAAAGTTAGGATTTGTATCAATGATTTGGAATTTATGCAATATGATTTGGCCTATCACTCTCAGCTAGTTTGTGCAATTGATGTTACATCTATAATTCAAAATTTAACTAAGCTTAGTTAATTAGGTATACTAAGTGTGTATAAAATTTCATATCAATCTAATGATGCAATTAGAAGACATCTAGATTTTGAAACAAGAGGGTATTAGAAGTTGGCGGTTTGAAGTTAGATAGGATTTCTATGATATTTGAAGATCTAGAATTAAGATGAAATTTGGCATGGTAGTAGAAGACTTTAAGATCAAGCTATATATTGATTTTGAATTGAAGTTAATGGTTGAAGGAAAAGAAATCGCTATTAAAACATTTGCATCAACTTTCAAGTTGGCGGCCAAGTAACATCAATATGATTTTTGGGCTTTTTTTGACAATTTGTAAGTTGGATTGGGCTGAATTTTTTTAAGCATGTAGAAGACTTATAATGACATTTGTATGAAATTTTTTGTACTAAAAGAACAATCAAATTAGGAATTATAGTTCACCAAATCTCACTAACTAGTGTTAGGACTTGCAAAGAGAAATCAAAATTACCTAAATATGAAAGTAATAAGGTAATTGGGATTTATGTATGGTTGAGGTTAGTAAAAAGAGTAGTTTTGAGCACTTTGTATTGATTTTTAGTACTTTTGAATTAAAATTAAAATTACATTCTTCTTATATGGATCAAACCTATTAAAATTTCTTGAATACTTGTAAAACACAACTTCACCTTCCACAGCCAAGTGCACAGTGCATTTCCAAATAAGACATCACGTATTATGAAAATATTGATAATAATGAAGAAGGCTTCAGTCTTGCCTCCATATATATTAGCTAAGTAACAACTACGTGATGACATTCTGTAGGGCCTTCAACACATGTTCAAATTGTGAGACATATGTCTTTACTCTTAAAGCATGTTTTTTATATGTACATCCCATAGTTAGCTTGTTTTACAAGCTACTAGTACATGTAATATGTAGCTAATTTGTTGACCAAATTTCTAACCTACCAATCAACTATAAATACATATAATATCAAAACTGTATTCAATTAAATTATAATAATACTAATTAATTATTAATTAAATTATTAAAAGTTTTAAGAATTTATAATAGAAACATAAAAAAGTCATAAATTAATCTTAATGAAATATAGATATAATAAAAAAATCTTAAAGAGATATTTTAAAAATATTTTAAAATTTTTAAAAATAGAAGTTTTTATCAAATTCTAATCAAATCTTAATATAATCATCAAAAAATCTTAATAAAATCTTAAACCAATCTTAATCAAATTTTAAACCAAATTCTAATGAAATCCTAATGAAATCATTTCTAAATCCTAATCAAATCTTAAATCCTAATCCTAGACCAAATCTTAATAAAATCCTATATTCTAATAAAATATTAATCAAATCCTAAAACATTTATAATCAAATCCTAAAAAAATATTAAATTAAATTCTAAATAGATCCTAATTGAGTCTTAGATTTTAAACTTATTCTAATCAATTTTTAATCAAATCCTAAATCTTGAATAAATTCTTAATAAATCCTATAGTAGATTGAAAATCCAATAACTAAGACTTGAACTGATGATTTTGATTCAAAAGTTGTAAACATTCCAAAAAATAAATTAGAAATAAGTGTAAATTTTTTGAAGAAGATTGCATATATCAAAGAGATGATAATCTCTAAACTCCACTCAAAGGTTGACTAGCTTATTTCTCCAACCTTGATGTTAATATTCTTAAACCATGATTTCTTAATTTCACCATTTAATTGGTTCCAAACTTTACATAAGTATTGAAAGTTAAGATAACTAACTTTGAGAAAAATTATAATTTAATCCAATAAGCAAATTGACAAATATCTTAGAAATCCTTACTAGTCCTCTAAATCTTAATTTTTGAAACCATAATCTACAAAAAATTTATATTCTTTAATTGACTTCAAATTCTTCATCGACATTTATAACAAGCACAAAAAAAATTGATAAATTTTTATTTATAAATATGATATAAAACTCACAAAATCCTCAAATTTATAAACATAACTTTATTTCTCAAAATCTAAATCTTTTGAATACATCACTTTGAAAATCTCTCAAAATCTCAATATTAATTCAAATGATATAAAATCAACTTTTAAAAATTTTATCTCAAGTTTGCTTTCAAATTCTACCTTCTAATTGATAAAAAAACTTCAAAAATAGTATAGGTACTCAGTTTTGTA